AAATGTAAAAGTTAGTTATTTAATAAAAAATAATGTGATGCAAATGACATATTTAATATCGTTTACAAAGTATTTTTTAAAATATTAAAGAAAAGATGTTATGTTAGATGCAATTAATATTAAATAAAAGGTATTGCAGACAAATGATTTTTAGACTTATTTCCACATCTTAAGTTGTACTGTGTATCATACCTTCTGTGACAATCTTTTTTTTTCAATTATTGGCTCTTTTTGTTGTTTATGATCTAAATGCTAGAAGTATTTTAATATTTAAGGACAAAGGAAATGATACAGATGTTGATATAGAAGTTAGCACTATAGAAACAAGCAGATTTAACATATAGGTGGACCTTTTAAACTATCTCATTAATAGAATTCACCTAAAGTAATCTCGGATTTTAAGACATCAATTTTGAATAAATGACACCAGTGTTATGTCAGGAGTCATTGTTCTGCAAAGTAATTTTTTTGTGTGTTTTTTAAGTGAATTTTGTAACAATCCTGAAATATTTACAATCAATCATTCATTTTTCAATTAAAATAGTGTCATTATAAATGGGGATTAAATACCTTTCAACATAACAGAAATATAATTTAGGTATCCTGTCACTAAGTGACAGAAGTATGCCAAAATCATACAGTTTGCAAAGCTATACACCTATTAAAAATAAATTATAGGAAATTAGCACATTTTTTACCTTTTAAAATTAAAAGTTATACTCCATGAAAGCAGCCAACCAAGTAAAACATTAAAGGATCATTAAAACATATTTGTGGAATATACTTCACATAAAGCTAAATGTCTGGGTACATTTCTCATGGTCTCCTAAGTACTATCAATTATGTTTTAATGTAACTCTGATTTTATGAATAGATCTACTCAAATCTTGTTTGAAACAATGATAGGAACAAAATTTAAAATAACTCTTTAAATACAGAAATAACACTGAGATCTTTTAATAACCTTTCTATAACGGGGCTTCCATGAGCTGTTCAATTCTTGCCTTAAGGCTTATTTCTGCATATCATCATATTTAAAAAATAAAATGCACTCCAATGTCAAGAGCATGCAAGAATAATGTAATATTTTTACTGAAATTCTTGGTGAGATAGTTATAGCGCTTATCAGTGTGGCAAAACTTCCTAAGTCACTATCAAGCATCTTTCTCTTTCCTGGCAACCCCTGCCCTCAATGGGCCTCCACCACACCATTCAGCCCACAGCCCCTCCCCCAATCCAACTCTGACCCCAATCGGCCCCCCCACTCTGATCAGCCAACCACCCATGACCTCTCCCCTCAGCTGCTGGCCCCTGATCTGCCTCCCCGACCCCATTCTGGGACAGGGCTGGCTGGCCCATCACCCACAGCCCCTCTCCATAGCCGGCCCCTCTCCCAATCAACCCCCACTACCCCAATCAGCCTGCAACCCCTCCCCTCAACCAGCTCTGCCCCCGATCGCCCCCCCACACACACCAATGTGGGGTGGGGCTGGCCAGCCAACCTCCCACGGCCCCTCCCCCAGCCACTGACACCTGATCAGCCACCCCCCCACCCCAATCAGGGGCGCGGCTCTGGCCAATCACCTGTGGCCCCTACCCCTAGCCAGCCCGGCCCTGCCCTAATCAACCCCGATTGGGGCAGGCTGGCCAGCCAACCTCCTGTTGTTTCCTCCTCCCGACAGGCCCAGACCCAGTCCACCCAGATTGGAGCCAGGCTGGCTGGACCCCACCTGTGCATGAATTTGTGCACTGGGCCTCTAGTTAGTCAATAAAAATCTTTACTGATTTTAAAACAAGTATTTCATGATGATTTTACCGTTTTTGTAGAAATGAATGCTCATTGGGAATTCTGACTTTTAATGTAGGAATTGATTAGTAAAATTCATTCATTTCATCAGCATAACTGATTATGCTTTAAGTAAAATATATTTTCTCTTATTAAGTAATCCCAAATGTTGTTGGTCATTGAAATGTA